GTATGCATATATTGTATCTGATGACGCATGAGATGCAAGCCCTGATGGTATAAAATATCTGTTTATGCTTTGATTAAGTCGGAGATCGGCCCTGTCTGCGAGCGGAGCTGGTCTTCCCACGCATGTATTTCATTAAAATCAATTGTTTGACCAAGTTCTGGACCATGGTTGTTTGTACTCTCCTTAACATTTGGGGGCTCGTCCGGGATTTGAACCCGGGACCTCTCGCTTTAATGGTTTTATAAGTAAAACTTTAAAAGAAGTTACCACAACTAATTTTGGCAGGCCTATACAAATAGAGATACAAATTTTGGTGACAGTTAAGTCATATACAGGCGATGTATGTTGAATGTGACAGATGAAACAAACACAAACTGTAAAAGTTACATCGTATTTGCAGCGGGATGATGCAATTCTAACATAATCCATTCATCCGCTTTATCCGAGGCCGTGTCGCGGGGGCAGCAGCCTAACATAATATATGGGAAAATCAAAACAATTGTATAACAGAATTAAATCCAAGATTTTCAGAGTGCTACCAGACTAGCATCAGCTAAAGGCTATAGACTGTAAATAAAAAATGGACATAGTCACTGTGATATCGTGGACTCCAATTCTAACATGTGTCTAACTTTACAACGGAGTTACTACTTAATGTAGTAACTCCGTTGTAATGTTTGTTTTCAATGCACAAAAAAGTGGTACGTTTGTTTAATTGAGGATTGTTTATGACTTCTGTCTCATTGATTTTGGATTATTTCAGCTAAACAAAGTAAACATTTAATTCCATCAAGTTACCAGAGATCAATCCTTGGGATCATTTTGGAAGAGTAAAGCATGACCCCGTGAAGTTAGCATGTAACACCTGTAGACAAATTCCTGCCTATCGTAGAATACTAGTAAACATTTCTCCACTGCAGGTCTTTTCATTAAATCTAGTCATGTTTTAAAACATAGTTCAGATATAACAGTTGATTTCACAAATGTTTCTTCATTGGTTCAAATTAGATATTCAACATAGTCCAGACCTCATTAGATTTTTGTGAATTATTTTCTACTGTGCCAATATTGATTAGAATAAAATCAAATAAACAACATTAAATATTGTTAGACAGAATGAGTAAAAAAAAAAGCTCAACCCAAAGTCTCAAACACACTACCCCATACACCATACAACCCCCTACTTAGCCTACTGAGATAAATAGCGTAATGTTAAACAAGGAGTGTTCCTAACTCTATGGTGCTGATGTCATAGACAGGGAGGGGAAAGGGATGGAAGTTAATAAGAATTTGGTCATTCCGATTCCATTATATCACCTATCGATTTGATTCCTTATCAGTTCTTATTGGTTTCTCATTCGCTCCACTTTGAGAGTCACCACCACAAAGCAGCAGATGAAACATTCTAGCAAATTAATTACATGCTGTGTGGTCACATGTTTGTGCATGTTGGAGGTATTTGCCCTCTTTGTTGTGATCATTGTTGGGGTCATTACTCAAAATAATTAAGGCATTACACATATTACACAGAAAACTTTTCTTATAAGTAATACAGTATGTTACTTAATTACTCCCAGGAGAAAGTAATTCATTATACTACTGGTTACATTACTTTCACCGTTTCTCTTTAAAATGACCTGAAATGTACCGTCTCATAATTACCATTTAACAATACAAACCAATAGCCCACAGTCCCACACAGCAACACCGTTTCCATTACCGTTGAAGTTCAGGGTCTGGCTGCTGGGCTGGGGTCGGCATTCACTGAGCTTAACATCACGCTAGGGGCAGTGTTGAGCTCAATTTGCAAAATAAATGGCAAGTTTATTGCAAGCACATGGAGTTGGATACTGGCGGATAACACCTGCAAGAATAGAACAACCACGCTTTATAAGAAAGGCAATGTGCAAACTGTTGTCTGTTTGATTTGTTTTTAATTACTATGAACGCAGAGAGAAGCTCAACACTGCCCCTAGTGTCCTGGAGCAACTTCCGTTGTGTTTGTACGTGTTTTGGAGTTTGTAGGTGCTTCGGAGTTTGCGTGTTTTGGAGTTTGTACACGCTTTGTCTCTAGGGGTCTCTAGGGGCCACCTAGAGACTTTTTAAGCTATACAAAAATAGCTTAAAAGTATTGCTTATTTCTTCCAAAACCAGACTTTGCTATTCCAGTGCCAGTGTGTATACATGGTGATGTTTGGAGTTGTCTGTGAGCTGCCACCTGGTGTCCACTTTTGTAAAACCTGACAGGTGAAGACATTCTGAGGATGTCTGCTTACCACCAAGCAGTAACTATATAAGCTGTAATTGTTTAAAAAAAAAACCAACAAAAAAAATAATTCATTTAATTTGTTCTATGCAATAAATTCATCTATAGTTCTCGCTTTGTCATAAAGAGTGTAACATGACACGGTGGACAACAGTGCTAACCACAATGCCTGAACATGCTTCTGTAAATTGTTAAGGTGGTGTTGGTTCATTTTGGAATACCGTTAATGGATCGTTTGAAAAATAAAATGTTTTTTTGATTGATGTACAAGCCAACTATACGCAAAAGTCTGTGTTCAAGCTTGTTTGAATCAGTGAGTGAAATACTTGCATCATATTCATAATACCGTTGAAAGTCATGTGAAAAGAAAACAAGATAATTATTACTATATTCTATTACATCATTTGTGTTTAAAGGGCTAGAAACACGGGAAAAAAGGCTTATCTTTGTAGAAGTCTAAAACCATTAGCATTAGTGTCACTGTCCATTTATAATTAAAAGTCAAGCCAACTGCATGTCAAAAAATGACATCAATGAGATTTTACTAAGCTAACAAAGATGTATAAACCTGCCCTGCTCTCTGCCTCATGCCTGGTATAAGAAACCCACCAGTTACCACTGTCAAAGCTGATAAATCATCCAATCACATGCTTGGATGTGTTTAATCACACATTAGTCTAATGCATATCTCCTGGTGTTCTGGGAACTGTTTTTAATGCTGACACACACTCGCACACAAATAACAGCCCATCGGGGCAATCTTCCGCCCCATCAGTGCGTTAACTTTCTAATTTACTGTGTTCTTGAAGTGGAGGAGCAAATGAGTGTCCCAAAGAGGAGTCAGTCCCCCACACAGCAGGGGCTGGGAGACCCCCTGCAGCCTCAACAAACATTTAGACTGTGTTGTTACTGTGATACACACTGTCAAAACAGTGGTGATGTCAGAGTGGTGGCAGGATTCTGTGTGTGGTATTTATGAAAAAGACTCTCTAGACTTTAAGTTCCTTTTAAAATTATTAGAAACCTTTTTTTCCCATTACATTTAAATTGACTAAGTTACTATTCAGCTGCTCTAAGATCTGATTTTTGTCTAACCCAAGATGCCCACCTGTTATTTAATGTTCTCCATCTTAACATAGCTGCAGTCTGCCTTCACAAATGTTTGTGAAAGAATGGGTGTGTGAAAGAGGCTGTTGAATTCAAGTGTGGTATTGTAATAGGATGCCACTATGGTAACAAGTCAGTCCATTAAATTTCTTCCCTCTTAGATATTTCATAGTTAACTATAGCCATAACTGGAGTTATTGCAAAGTGGAAGCATTTAGAAAAAAACAGTAACTCAGCCACAAAGACAATGTAAAGTTACAGAGCAGGGATGCAGAGGGCTGAGGTGCATAGTGTGTAAAAGTCACTGACACGCTGACTCAACAGCTGCAGAGTTCCAAACTTCCTCTGGCATTAACGTTGGTGTGCTGAAAACTTATGGAATTCGTTTCCATGTGCAAGCACCTCTTGTGGGTGTAAAGTGTAGATGACCCAGTACTTTGGTACATATAGTGTGTGTCTTCAGACAAATAATTTTGTGACATATGGTGCCATGCAATCTGTACTAAAACCACTAAAATCACTAAAACCTGATTTTGTAATTTTTCTGTAGGCTTAGAAATGTGTCGCTCACAGTGTGGTGCGAATTGTTAAAACTTGAAACTGTGAAACAAAACATGTCTGTATATGTTTCCAATCTTTTACTGTGATATTGACACCTGTCATCAGTTTAGTCCTTTGTCCCATGGATGAACTTTCATAATCTTTGTCAACACATATGCATAGCGTATGTTTGCTCTGTTTGGTGGTTAAAACATCATGAGCAGCAGGGCAGAGACAACAGCAGATGAGAGAGGCTGAGCAGCCAAGCAGCCGTGAAAATCCTCTCTACATCTTCCTCCTCATGCAGGCAGATCCCTATGAAATCAAATCATCTTTTCTTTCTCCACCTCTTTATCTCATCCCATCCTCCTTTAGAGCCCCCATTCTCATCCTCTGGTCAGTCCCTTCTACCCAAACTACCATCTTATTGTGCCACTGTGGAGTACCTTTTTGTCTCTGGTTCCTCTCCAGATGCTTCTCCAGTGGTCTCATTTTCATAAAGCTACAACATTCACAGGGAGAAGAGAGTTAAATAGGTAAGTCACGGAGAGAAGAAAGCAAGCGAGCCAGAGAGATGGAGAGACAAAGGGAAAGATGAAGAGAGAGGGAGTAAAAAACGTTAGTGGTCAGCAACACCGCGGGCATCATAAATCAGATTTCCCACAATCCCCTGCGGAGGGGCCCTTTCCTCGGCCTTGAGCGGACACGCTCAGCGGGGTGCGGAGCATCGATTGGCGTCGCCATGACGATGCTGACTGTGCCGGGTTCGGAGGGCGAGAGGGGCGAAAAGGTGAGGTGTTGGAAGGGAGGGGTGGCTGTGTATGTGTGTTAGTGTAGTGGTGGTGGGGGGCACGAAGAAATCTGCCTCAGCATCAAACTAAAACAGCAAAAACCAAAACCCAGGAAAACGTAAGTGTGTGTTTGTGTGGGTGTTTGTGCAGGAGAATGTGCAGACTCGGGGGTAATTTCCTCCCCAATCAGCACACCCTCGCTCGCTTCAACACTTGCCCCCTTCCACTTCTTCTTCCCCGCTCATCACAATCTTCTGCCCACTCACTCTGGGGCAAAACGGGGGAACAAGATCTTTCTGTTGCCTCCCGTAGGGTTTGTGTAGGGAGGCCGAGATCCAGCTCACACAGCCGCAGGGCTCTGCTCAAACACTGAACCCTGGGCAGAAAACACAAACTGATTAACCAACATGTCAGCTTTATCACTTAGTAGCTTTGGATAGAGTTTATGTTATTTAACTGAAGAAGCCTGAAGGCAGAGCTTTATAAATGCCACCAGCTGCCTCATTTCATTATAGAAACTGTTTTAGTATCATATTGTATCATACTTGACAACAATGAAACCACAAGTACCAAAAAACCCATACATTATACATAATGTATAAAGATTAAAGGTAAAAGGTAAAAAGAAAAAAATACTGACTTGACAGTTTTTTCTTCTTTTTTCATGCTGAAGAAAGATATGAAACTCTCACCTTTGTTCTCTTTGAAGAAAAAAGTCTTAGGGTGAGATAATTGCTATAAACAAAGTCCTTCTGGAGGCAAGTCTTACCAGTCAGCAACCATGTTGAAATGCCTTTGGGAACTTAATTTGGCAGGTATTTTGAAGCATTGTTTAATTTCATGTTTGCTGACTTTCCCTCAGAATATGGTCTAAAAAAGCTTTTTCCCCCATACTCTTTTACTCCCTCTGACAATGGCTATGAGATTTCACTTCAGATTATTTAACTGAAAAGTCCCTGAAGTTGCCGTCCTCGCACCACTGTCAGTTTTTATTATCAGATAACTTTTTTAAATTAAAATGTATCTACTGGTGGGTTTTTCAACCATTTATGTACAAGAGGGAGGGGTAACATTCAAAGGACTGCTGTTCTATGCTCTAATTTTCTTTCTCTCTTTTTGATTTGGTTGGAGGTAGAAGTCTGACTTGCAGGGACACATGAATGCTTTGTCTGCAGTACAAAGAGCTGAAGTTGTACAGTCATTGTGTATTCAAACAAATCTTTGTTGTCATGGTCCGCGGCCCGGCGTCCGAGGTGCTGATGGGATGCCCACGCCCACGGCGTGGCTGCTAACTCCACACCTGCATCCCATCCCAGGCGATCACCAGGTGGACTATTTAATCCTGCCGCTCCACGCCAGTCCGTAGTCGTCTCTCAGCGATCTCAACTCGGCGTGTTTTGAGCCACCTGCCTGTCCACCTGCCCGTTTGGAATTTGGATCACGATCAGCACTCCCCGCCTCGACTTTTCTGGACCTCCCCCGCGGACCCTCACCCCTCCCTCCGGCTCCCTCGGCCCTGCTATCATCGTAAGATGCATACTCTACCTCCCCTCGTATGCTGCCATTTCCCCGCACCCCAATAATCTTTTTCCTTTTTCTGTTGCAGCCTCCCACAGTCCCGCTCTCGGCGTTCCTGCGCAACTCACCTCCCGGTCCTTCGGTTTCTCTGGTTCCACGCACTTTTTCCCTTCTACCCTCCCGGGACACCTTCAGTTATAATAAAGTTTATATTTTTCTCATACCCCGGTGTGTGTGTGCTCTGCTTCTGGGTCCAGCTTGTGCGCGGAACTTCAGTTCATGACATTTGTCCTTTTCAGTTGGCCAAATGTTTAACCCTGTCTCTTAAATATTTCCCCTTACAACTGAAATACAGCTTCAATTATCAGAAAACCTATTTTCTAGAGTAACATATAGCAGCAGTATCTCATTGAGTAAAAACTTTTATAGACATCTAGATAATTTTGAGTTTAATTTTAACATTAAAGGTGAACATTCATCTGAGGATTAGGGCTATTAACATACTTAATTGAAAAGAAGCCTATAGAAATAAATATATCCTATATGTGTAAATATAATTTCACAATGAATATGGTTTGTTTTTCTTTTCTTTTGAACTTTACTGTTCACTCTGAAACAGCAGCACTTTTTGGCTTAATGAAAAGCTGAATTGGAACTGATACCGATCCCCCCATGCCCCCATGTTACATTTTTTGACAGTACAAAAGAAGATGGTTAATGTTTATAATTGACTATAAGCTCCTCTGTGTTCTAGAGTTCTAGAGCCAAATGTGTACTGTCTAGGGGATGACTTTTTTGTATTGATGCATCTCCAATTCCAAGGACTGAGAAGTGGTGAGATATGCTCAGTTTTCACCCAGGAGACTAGGTGATTGTCATTTAGGGCCAAAAAAGAATCGACTTTTTGTTTTCAATTACTGTTTGGTTGGGTTTAGGCAACAAGTTACCTGGTTAGAACAAGGAAAAGGGTAATACTTAAGGTCCAAATAGGAAAGTTCAATGTTAACAATATTAGTTGTTATGTTGGCTGGCACCACCGCCCCATCTATTATATGACTGTTGCCTTTAAGGAGAAATAATATATGAAAGATATGCTTATTTCAAACTTACTTTTTAAACATCACAAGCAGATACAATCTAGGAGAAAATCAATCAGAGGAGAATCTAGGAGAAAATCAATCAGAGCATTCTTGAGAAGTTTAATTGTGAATGTAAATTCACATATAACAGGGCTGGAATTTCACATCACAGCAAAACATAAAACATGTCATGTCAGATTCGAGCTTTTTGGTTTTGTTTTGTTTTTTCTTTTACCTTTCTGTTTTGTTTCTTGTGTCTTGCAGATGAAAATGTACATAAAGCACAGGAAGGAAATCCATCTTATGTCATCTTAATTAAAACAATCTTTAAGGAACCACATGGTCCTCTCCCTCTCTGATTACTACTTTTTCTATCTCTCTATATGTTCCTCATTCTCCTTCCCTCTCCCTTTCACTCCCAGTCTTTCATAAATTTCATTAACAGAGAAATCCCATTAGCTCTCTCTCTGGCCCTGCCTCTCAGGGTTAACAACTTTGCTTAGCCATGTAAATTCAGAGCTTAGTCAGGCCGATTCTCTACACAGCCACCGCCGCATGCACGCTGTCATCGCCACATTAAACTCTATCTTTGGATACGTTCACGCGTGTAAAAATGTGTGTATGTAGACTTGGTGAAGGAAGTGAGGTCTGTGTAAACCTTTTCCGGCAGATAACCTGGATAGTGTGTGTGTGTGCGTGTGTGTGTGTGTGCGTGTGTGTGTGTGTGTGTGATAGCTGCACCTGCGCCCAAAACCTCGCCACAGAACCGAAAAACAACAAAAAACCCTGAACATGCGTGTGTTGTTGAAAAAAACAACAAAAAAAATGAATAGAAAAAACTGGTGTGTGATGTAGTGTGTTTCTCCATATCATATACATACTGTACATATTCTCAGTGTCTGGCGTATGAGGTTGAGGAGGATGGAGACTTATCTCCTGTGGGCAGGACAGAGGCATCTTACTGCTGGCCCCACACAGCCCTCCTCCTCTTCCTCACTCTTCCTCCAAGCTCCTTCTTCCCTCTCTAAAGCTTTAACACACAAACCCAAGAAGATTTACTCTACATTGGCACCACCATTGGCTCGCTGGCTCCCAAACAAAGTGAAGCAGCTTAAAGTGATATTTCACATCAGGGAAGTATTTATTTCTCTCTTTTACAACACAGGTATGTCCAGAAATATGTGGGTGCCTTTCTCCATTTCACAGATAATTCTAGCCTAAAACTGTGGGCTATATACTGAAAAATATAGTAAATGCAGATCACTTATTGTGGATCACATGGCTTTTACTTTCACTTCACTTTTTCTTTCCTTCCTCACTCAAATCCATTGGTACAGTCAGGACTCTAACAAAAGCATACCAACATATTTATCCACCTACTCATTTTCTTAACACTTAGCCAAGTCACAGCCAGCCTATCAAAGCAAGGTGAGTTGTGGGGTACACCGTGGACAGGTTGCCAGTCAATCACAGGGCGTACTTCTAGCATATAAAGTTTGCAGTTTGAATGCATCAAAACTGTTAGGCATTCTCCTTCAGGTCTATCACAGTTTTAAAAAAAGAGGAAAAGGAACCATCACTGGTTATGACTTAAATCTCACAGAATTAACTGAATCCCAATCTGGAGTATTATGTGTTTTATAAAGACATATGCATATACACTTGGTTATACTGCACTCTCTCTGTGGTAGAGTATCACTTCCTGTTCCAACACACAGTGGTGTTTTTGTGTAGCTTATCTGTGTAACAATTTCATTAAAAACTTTTAGTTAACTTCTTTTTTTCATAGTGTAATCTTCATATGCTTTATCTGAAGCACACTCTGTGTACTCACTTGCCAATTTATAGCCAAAGTATTCATTCACTGTGTCTTTAATGTTTCATTAGCTTAGCTTAGCTCGGAGCCGAGTCGCTAGAAGCACGGCCTCTTCACATGTCCACCCCGCTGCTTGACTCCCTGGTATAATTCTCAAACACGTAGTTTAAAGCAGATAACTCATAAGCTGGAGGGCATGTCACAAATTTATAAGATCATCATTTAGCCTGGAGAAATAGTTTGTTGCTTTATAAGAAAGCCCTCCATTAATCTAGCACATCTTACTATTCATCACTGATTGCAGAAAATAAGAACAGGTTTCTAGAGCACTGTTAAGCTAACCATTCCTTTAACATTAACTAGTAATGATTTCATGAACTTCTTCACAAATAAAATTTTAACTCTGGGGGACTCTGTATTTACATTGTGGTGGACCACTGGAGGGCTCCACTCACACCCAGTTCTCAGGAAGTGTTATTGCTGTGTTTTGGAGGGAAAAGTATTACGTTGTGTGGAGATGAGTAATAAACAGTGTTGGGTAAGTTACTTTAAATTAGTAACCTAGTTACATTACTAGTTACTTCTATCAAAAGTAACTCAGTT